GAATCAGCATTACTACCATCACCATCATCCATGCATTCTGATGTAGAATTATCTGGATCAAACTTGAGTAGCAAAGACTTACAGGATCATTGATAGAATATGTGAAAAATCACACTTACACAGAGAAAAGTACTGTATAAATGCTAATGTATATCATTTTACACTTTTGACAGTGGTTGGGGATACAATTCAAATCATCAAAAAAAAGTTGTAGTAGAACAAATTACATTTTCAATGTAATGTGTTGATCCATCAAAATATTATATGTACCCACTAAATATGTACAATTTTTATGTATCAATAAAGCATAAATATTAAAGAGGCCAACTTCCTAAATTAGTCTTCTCTCTCTCTCTCTCTCTCTGTGTTTCTCTTTATTTGTGTGTGTATGTGTGTGTATGTGTGGGAGTGAGTGTGTATTTGACAGTACTGGGGCTTGAACTCAGGGCTTCATGATCTTGCTTAGTTTTTTTCAGCCAAAGCTGGCATTCTACCACTTTAGACATCGTCCTCCACTTCTAGCTATTTCTGGTTAATTGAAGATAAGAGCCTCATGGGTTTTTCTCCCCATGTTGGCTTCCAATCCTAATCCTCAGATATCATCCTTTTGAGTAGCTAGGATTACAGGTATGAGCCACAAGTGTCCAGCTTGCTTCCTTTTTTCTTTTTGAAAATCTAACAACACTGGAAACAGAGAGGCAACATGAATTTATTGTGTTTTGATTGATTTGAAAGTTTACCTTCCATATGGCTGTACTAACTGAAAATAGAAAAAAAACTCTTTGGAAATTACCTAATCAGACCAGTCCCAGGTTTTTCCTATAAACAATCACATCCCAATTAAAATGGAAATAATATGTTACAAAGAGGATGGAGACTATTCCTGTCTCCAGGAATACCAGAAATAACAAAAAGAAAATACGACAATGAAAGAAATTAAAAACTAACAAAGGTAGGGGGTGTAGCTCAATACTGGAGGGTCAGTCTACAATGTGTGAGGGTCTGTGTTCAATCCCCAGTATCACAAACAAAACAAAACAAAAACCATGAATGACAGCAGATAAAAAAATCACATTTGCAGAAGTGCATAGTTTCCCCACGTAAGACTGCTTTCCCATCACTGATACTGGCATTTTATTTAAAAAGATAAATAAAACACAGGTATATCAATTTATAAATCATTCTCTTTTTTTTTTCTGTCGGTCATGGGGCCTGAACTCTGGGCCTGGGTATTGTCCCTCACCTCTTCAGCTCAAGGCCAGTGCTCTACCACTTGAACCACAGTGCCACTTCTGGCTTTTTCTGCTTATGTGGTGCTGAGAAATTGAACCCAGGACCTCATTCATGCAAGGCAAGCACTCCACCACTGAGCCACCTTCACAGCCCTAAATCATTCATTTTTATGAAGCATTTCTGCATTCCTAATCTATTTTATTATAATTACATAAGGTATATTACACAACTAGTTGTTAAAGAACACATTCCTCCTGAGGTCCTAACCCCATGACATTTTTGCCTATTTTTCATTGCACACTCAGTTGGCTGCACCATATGTACAAAGATTTTTATCTGACAATCCATAGCCAATTTCTTCTATAAGCTAAATCCTTCCCAATCATTGAGACTTTGGATAGAATGACTCCCTGTCAGAGACCCACATTATCATGGCCTTTCTTGTTTTATGGTGGCTTTCTTTTCACGATAGAGTTATAGAGTTAGATATGTGCTTCAAAGATGACAAACACGCATCAGATTCACCTTTACCTGAATTTTTATACATTTTTTCTTGTTTCTGTGTCTGTTTATTCTCTCTCACCTGCTTGTAGTAAAGAGAAGCATCATTCATAATGCCATTATTAAGCAAATAAACATGAATGAAAATTTAGTGCCATCAGGGAGAGAAGGAAATGATAAACAAGATTGAAATTTGAGTAACTGTCAGTACGTTCTGGCAGTACTTAATTCCTTTGAAAAAAAATGAAAGTAAAATGACTAATGCCAATTTCTAACTTAATTTCCTCGGCCTAGTCAATACCAAATCTTGAGGAGATTTACATGCAAAACAGCACTGAGAGATTTGGATCTGAAAACATTCAAGATGCAGACACTTGTAAGGGGAAACAAAGGAGGAGCAACAATGCTTGATAAGAAATGTACTCATTACCTTGCCCATGTAATTGTAACCTCCTGGATGGTATTTTCACAATAAAAAAAAGAAAAGAAATAAAGATACCAGAACTGCACACATAGTGGGGCAATCACACACCATCAGAGTGCCCTATGCTCTAGACCTCGGTAACTTAGGTTCACTGTCCACGCAGGTGGTCTCATAATCAAGCAACTGTTCACTCTCTAGCTGATTCACCTAAGGATACCTGAAGCTCTGAAGAAGCCTGAACAGCAATTCCCCTCCAGAAAAACACTTCTGTGTTGCACAGGCGTGGTTTTAAATGGTGGAGATAATTGCTTAATTCAAGCTGTAGCAACTGGCCAAGTAAACATGTAGCAGCCAGGAAGCTATTAGCATGATTTTAAGGCAATTATTCCATTAGTGTTTAATAGTCTCCAATTAGTCTTCTTTGACTATCAAAGTTTGAATGTCTTTTTTTTCCTTCAAAAATTATCATTGTTGAATAATGCAGAGGTACTAAACTGTGTGTGTGTGTATGTATGCGTATGTACTAAAACTGCACAACCATAGGGAATGTTCAAGAGTATAGATTTGGTGAAATGTATTGTGTTAAATTTCTTTGTAAACTTCATGTGTAAATTTCTCAGAAGTATTAGGGTAAGGATGGGAGACTCTGCCGGGAATATACTTGGAATGATACATTGTATCACATTATATGGCTTGAGAAACAACGGGAAATCCTATGCTATCCCAAGGCCACATCCTCATCTCTCTGCAAGAAGGTCACTAGAATATTGAATGGTCTGATTTCAAGTTTCTACTTTGTCCCACAGAGAGAAGTAAAAATGACAAATGACCCACATCCTGTTAGTGCCTAGTTCATTGTCTTCTCATCTCGGTTTCCACTTGTTGAATAATCTTGATGCAAATCCCAAGGTTTTCTTCTCCAAAACTCCGAGGAGATCTTTCCCTAAAATCTAGTTTGGGGGTCATACCACTGAACTGACTGCAAGTCATTTGCCTACACCGAGTTCCAGGATATCTGTGAAATGAAGACAGTGCTGACTGCTTACGTGCAGGTGAACAGAGCAGGACTTTGAAAAGTGCCATAATACAGAAAGGTAAGGTGGATTCAAATGTGACATCATGCTATCCCACAGTACTAGCTCTGCTGTCCTGGGCTTTTAACTTCCTGCATCCCTCAAGTCCCCTGTCAGACGCGTGGGCTCTCAGTCCTTGCTCAGGGGAGACCAGGGGGAAGCATTTGTCCAAAATAAATAAATAACATGAAAATGAAGGAACTCCTGTGGAAGGGCGAGTGGAATTCTGCCAACAAAGTTATGTACTTTCTACTGTCTCCTTCGGAAAAAAAAAAAACAATCCCCAAACTCACCTAGGGAGCAGAATAAGGGCAGAGTGGGAAGCCCGGGTGGTTCTTTTTCCTTGGCGATCTCTGGTTCAGGGGACATTATTTGTCGAGGAAGGGCAAAAGATGACCATCTTTTGGAGGGGACAGCATTGGACAGCTTCAGCCTGTCATAGCCGTCAAACCAGCCACTTGAGTCACACTCACTGGAATTACTAATCATTCCAGTACTGTTGGTTGTAGCCTCTTGGGATTTTCAAGAAATCTTTTGACTAGCCCTCCCCCCGCCCCCCCGCTTTTCTTTTCCTCTTTCTCCTCTGTTTTTCTTTCTTTCTTGTCTCTCTGCAGTTGCTAGGAAGGGGCACCGTATAGGACTGATGGAGAGGAGGTAGACCAGAAGGTTGAACTTGCTCTGGACAGGAAGAGGAGCACCCATCAGTAATTTGCCCTCCAGCGACTCTTAGAAGAATCAGGTGTGCCCTCTCTCAGTCCACGTGCATAGACAAATTGGTCATGAATGGTGTCCCTGTATCCTCTGCTCTCACGTTGTAAACTGTCCTCAAACGACCCTCGCTCCTGCTCCCGGATACCTGAGCTCTGGAATGCATTCATGCGCTTCCCACCCCCCCCCCAAAAAAAACCCCAAACACCTGCCAGGTCCTCTGCTCCAAGACGCGCACATCCCTGGATACCTCGCGTCTCTTTCTCCCTTTGTGCATGCTTCCTTCCTTCAGTGTTTTCTGGACACCAGCTCCGCCACCTTGCCCTCCCCATTGGCGTGATCATCCCACACTCCCGCGCCTCAGACGCCCCGAGCAGTTCCCGACCCTGGAGCTCCACGCGGTTAACGTGCGCTGGGACTCTGGACCGGGCCCTCCTGGGCCCGTGCGCATCGGCACCCCACTGTGCCCGGCCTGGCGCTCCCCGGCCAGGGCCGGCCACGCGTCCCCGAACTTTCCTCACTCTCGGGGAAAGCGCTTTGTGTCTCGGAAGGAGGCCGGTTCCGAGGGAGCATTTCTCTCTCCAACCTGCTCAATCGGATGCCATGCCGGGGATGGATGGACTCAGAGTCCCACGCGGTGGAGCCGAACCCTGGAGACACCAGCTCACAACTCGTCACGCAAGATCACCCTATAGACTCCGACATCGAACCCCCTCCCCTCTCCCAAGCCTACACCCCAGTTCCCAGATCTGCAAGGAAAGCCGTGGTGGGGGTGTCCCCCCCCCGCCCCAATCTAGAGCCTGGGACGCAGAAGCAGTCACCTTGACTCCCTGCACCACGCTCCCCAGAGGGGCTGGAACGCGCCGGGCAGCCCGGGGCGCCCCGGGCACCGCGGTGGCCGGAAGCCGAGACCCTCCCCCGCCCTACCCCCGACCCCCCCCCAGGACAAGTTTCCCTGCTTCCCTCCCTCCCTCCCGGGGGCAAGTTCCCACTTGGTGTCGGACGAAGCCGGGCGGGGCAGGAGGCACCCCCGGACGGGCGAGCTGCCCCAGCCAGCCTACCTGGGATGGCTAAATTGGTGAGCGGGATGCCGTGGATGCTGTCGGGCAGAGTTGCCATCCAGTCGGCGAATTTCAGCTCGTGTTTCCCCTGAGACGAGGCCATGGTGCGGGGTCGGCGTGCGTGCGGCCGTGCGCCGTAGGGGTCCCTGGCGCCGGGCTGGGCGAAGGCTGGGCTGGGCTGGGCGAGCTGCGGCCGCGAAGCCGGTGTTCGCTCCGGGCCCCGCTGGAGTTTACACTCCGCTCAGCGCCACACCCACAGGATGGCGCAGACACATGCTCATTTTAATAATTATTCCAAACACACCCCCCTCCTCCTCCTCACTCCCCGGCTGCCCCCCCCGCCCCCCCTCCCCAGCGCCTCTGCCAGACTACGCCGAAGCTTTTGTTCCCGACGTCCCCGGAGCTCGGCTCGCGCGCCGCGCTCTCCCTCCTCTCCCGCCTTGCCTCCCTCCCCGCCCGCCGCCCTCAGTTCTCTGCCTCGCCGGGCGGCTCTGCGGCTTTCTTGTTCGAATCTTGGTATTTTGTGTGTCTCGCGCTTGCTTTCGCCCACAGCGGCTTTGTCCTTACGGGTCTTGCTCTGTCCTTGCGCGTGGACTTCAAGGTCCCGAGGATGGGAAAAGACCGTCTTTGAGGTCAAGGCAAAAGGAAAAAACAAAACAAAACCTGCTAGACTTTGAGATGCCCCCTGAAGAGCAGACTTTCGCGGTTCCAGGACTTTCCATTCTTCCCAAAGAGCGTTTGTGTTTATTTATTTATTTATCTATTTATTTATTATCTGCAGGCTACAACAGGTTATGCCAGAGCCCACAGACCTGTGCACACAAAATGGTGGTCTTTATTCACCTCTTCGCCTAATATTTTTTTGAACACCTGGTAAATGTGGAGACAGAGGAGGTTAGTGAATTCTAGGGGGTCACTCCTTAATTCCTGGCACCCTAACCCAGACATTTCGTAGCACAGAAACACTAGGTCACGGGAAATCGGTCAGAAATCAGTCAAGAGAAAGCTGCCTGTCTGTGTCCTGTCTGGGGTTCGTGGAAGCCTGGTGGTGGAAGCCAACCACCGCATCTACCAACGGGTGATTACTGCCAGCAGCGTCTGGTGGAATGTGTTTGGCACCCTTGGAAGTGATCTGTGCGGTGGTTTGGCAGACGAGAGAGATGTGCCTCTCTCAAGAGAAATCACTCCAAAGAACTGTCTGGGTCCACCTGCTCTCAAAGGAGAGAAAAGAGACATCGAGTCTTAGAAATATAATGAGACCATCAATGGCCTGAATAAGAGTATAGAAGATGAACTGAAAAGTGTGCTGGCCCGTTGCAAATGCAGAGATGCAACATAGGTGCCTTCATTATGTTATCCAATGGTGTGTAAATTCTTCCTTTCCTAAAGAAAATGCTAGTAGGTTGGGGAAATAGGAAACATGACTATAATGACTGCAGCTCAGCAATCTCATTTAGCATTTTCTTAAAATCAAAAACGAAAATTAGTGCCTACTTACTCAGAGATCTCAAGGATACTGAGACCAAAGAAATTGTACCATCGATTGGGGAGCACTGTGGAAAGGATGACAAAGGGAGAGATAATGACTTTCCAACAAATTTTCCATGCTCCTTTTAGGCAAATACAGGTTCAAGAGGAAATGGTAGGTCTACCTTTAGGGGGTGAGGATGGGTGTACTAGGTGTTTTTGTGTTTCCTTCAAATAAATCTGAATAATATGTGTGTTCTACAGGCCCACCTATCCTTTTAGTTAAAATGAGAACTTCTTTATTACAAGGCTGTTTGTGAAGAGACCTATAATCACCATGGTCCTGTGTAATACTGGTGTTCTCAGGGAAGCCCAGCCTGAAGGAAGGTTCAAATCTTGGAGTTTAGCTGATCTATCTCAGTAGCCTAGGAAAATTTTTGAGTCATTATTGATTCAAAGACCTGTGGTAAAGCTTCTGGAAGAGAGTGTACACAGGCCCACAAAAGTAAGAGGAGACATTCATTTACCTCTTTCTGTTTTTCCTAGGCCTCTCTAGCCTCTTAAAGTATTATTTTTCAAAAGCATGAAATACTTATAGAATATGGGAGTTATTTTTAGTTAAACAAACAAACACATTATTCCATTCAAGTATGTTGAATATGTGGCCCCAAAAGATTATAGTGTGGCATGTATTGTTTTCTCTTAACAATGTGAAAACACCTAAAGTATTAAGAAAAGTTACTTCTGTAATGAATCATATATTACCTTTTGGTAAAGCACACACACAAAATCCCTTCTCTGCCTTATCAACTTTGAATTGCAGAATTTTTAAATGTATTAGATTAGCATAAACCATTACCTAGGAAAGACATAACTGACAGTTGATGTTTCCATTTTCTTTCCTGGCCTTGTAATCAATATTTTATGACTTAAATCCCATTCTTCTGCCACCAGTTCTACCACCATTTACTAAATGATATTTACAATATCACATGGTATCTCTGGGATTTGGTTTAACTAACCACTGTATTAGTGATATCCAGGAAGGCAGAACATTCTATGTATATGATCTGTTACATGTCATATATATCATATGTGCATATATGTATGTATAAATAAGGAATCATACAATACCTTTTGGTAAAGCATGTATCATACACATGTATATATCATACATATCGTATGTGTTGAATGCATCATGTATGTACACACAAAAAATTTAAGAAGTTCTCAAGTGACTGAGAACTGGCAAATCTGAAATCTGCATGGACAGCAGGCTGGGAACTTGGAAAGAATTTCTGTGTTACAGTCCTGAAGTACAATCTTTTCTTCCAGAATCTTCAGCATTTTTCTCTGAAGACTTTCAAGTGATTGAATAAGACTTTCCTGTACCAGAGCTCATAGTCTACTTTGCCCGAAGTGAACACTTGCAAATGACTCTCATTGTCAAATATCTTTCTACCAACATATACTGTAGTGTTTAAACAGTCGGGCACTGCACCATAATCAAGTTGTCATATAAAATAAATCATCATAGCTACTGGCAAGATACAATAGAAGTTGCTACCAATCTTGGAGTACCCTTTGAACTCTATTATTCTGTAATTCTACTGCCTTTATATTTATTTAATACAAATAGCTTTTGAAAATAAAGAAAGCAATATCAATATTTACCTTATGTTTTTACTCCATGAAGACAATTCAAGGTATAGATCATCATTTTTTATCTCCACAACATGAGAAATACTGATGATTTTTCACTGTGATGTTCATCATAGCCTGCCTCTAAAAGTCAAACTCTTTTAAGCATAAATGAAAAGAAGAAAATGACTTTTTGTAGTTGATTTATGTGCCCATTAAAACGTCTCCATATAATCTTCTGTTGTTCACCAAATGCATAGTCCATAGAATATATACACTCTGCTACAAATCTTTAAAATATGAGTCCTTCCTTTGTAATCCTCTTCCACCCCTAAAAACATGATCCCTCTTTGCTATGTGTTCATAATCTTTCTGGATTGTTGAAGATATTTTTGCAGCCAAATGGATTTGGAATTGTGTTAGGGAAAACAAGAGTTCATAAAGGACAGAAAAGAGTACACATTGCAGTTAGATAACATTTTAGATTAGGAACTCTTTGGAATAATTTAACCAATTTGTTTTTAAAAACATGAAGTTCACTGGGCACGGGTGGATCACGCCTGTAATCCTAGCTACTCAGGAGGCTGAGATCTGAGGATCACAGTTCAAAGCCAGCCCAGGCAGAAAAGTCCACGAGACTCAGATCTCCAATAAACCACTAGAAAACTGGAAGTGGTGCTGTGGCTCAAGAGGTAGAGCACTCGCTTTGAGCTGAAGAGCACAAGGACAGAGCCCAGGCCCAGAGTTCAAGCCCCACGACCAACAACAACAACAACAAATGCCAAGATATGGAAACAAAAGATTTTTTTTTCAGTTTTTGATAATTCTGTCTTCTTTTTTTCCTATGGTGCATTAATATTTGCCTTTATTTTTCCCTTATAATATTAATACAGTTATATACCTAGAAGCATAAGATATATTTTCAATTGGTAGAAGTTCTGCATGCTTTCTTCCATTTTTATTATAATGATGATATACGGAAGGGATACAATAACATGAATCAGTAGTGTGTACATTTCTTTTGAACAGTGTCCCTCATTTTCTCTTATATATGGTATATTCACATGTATATCTTCAGGAAGGTGAGGAGAGGGCACAAAACTCAAGGGAGAAAGGGTGAAAAAGTGCAGGAGTAGAGCTCACTGGACAACTCATGGGTGGAAATGGGAAGGAGGAATTGGGGGACAATGAGGGAACAGATGACACTGTACGAAAGGAAATGCCCTCATTACCTGACTCATGCAATTGGAATCCCTCTGTACATCACCTCTATATAACAATAAAGTTTTATAAAACACAAAGCTCAGAAATATAACCTTTTGAGTCAAACTTAAAGAAAATACATACAAAGGAAAATGAAGAATTCTGATAAAAAATTAACTACAAATAAGCAGTGCTGATTTACTATTCCCTAGGAACTTCCCTAGTTAAGAACTCCATCTATATATTCCATGATAATAATTTTCAGTAGATTAAACAAAAATATTTTTGTACATAAAGTATGAAGCTGATACTACATAATTCTCTACTTGAACTAAGTTTTATAGGTTCTCTTTTCTGTATGACAGCACCTTTATGTCAGCCCAAAATAAGCTAACTAATATAATCCATGACTTGAATCACCAACTATGATATCTGAAGGTGTTCACTCAAATTCAGGCTGTTTGAATAAATTGCTTTGTTTCTTGGTTCTCATGGAAAGTATGATTATGCTTAGATTGTTTCATCTAAGCATAGTGGCTTATGCCTATAATCTTAGCTACTAAGGAGACAGAAATTGGGAGGATCATGGCTCCAAGCCAATCTGGGGCAAAATGTTTGTGAGACCCCATCTCAACAACAACACAACAACAGAAAGCTGGGCATGATGGTACACGTTTACTGCTCAAACTACATGGCAAGTATAAACTGCAGAATCTTCATCCAGGCCAGCCTGGATAGAAACACAAGACTCCACTCACAAAAACAGCTGAAGTAAAAGAGCTAGGGGTATGG